GTTCATGCTTCAGTCAGAAGTGATCACCTTGTAAGGAATTAGAGTTACATGTTCCCTGGACGCATTTGGTGAGGGAACTTTGCCATTTTCCCTTTTTTTCCACATGTATTATTGACCTTCATGTATGAAGCTAATCCCACGATCAGAGTAGACAGACACAGGTACATTTTTAACGCGTAGCCCTTCGTGAAGACATGGATTACACGCTTGATAGGGAGCTAATTTTATCACCAAGATAGAAATTTCCCAGTCAACTGTGCAGCCGACACTTTATGTCAAATATGCCAAAATTAGCGCTTAAAACGCTGACACCTCGGCAGGCCTTTGAAAGTGAGCCGTCATTCACACAGGAAGTGTCATATATTGGCATGGGTTGGTCTATTTTTTACATTGGGTATTTATTTTTACCCCTGTTGGTTTGAAGGAAGTAAAATGGTGTGCCGAACTCACGATGTAGATGCCGTGCATGACTTTGGCCAGCACAAAAATTCTTCTGACCGCGTCCTCCTTGGTGGGCAGGCCCAGTTCCGAGTGGCAACCGGTCAGGGCTATGGTCTTGTCGATTTTTTCGTAGAGCAGCTTCTGCCAGCGTTTGCCTCGGTGATCGGCCTGTGACTGAAATTTATAATTGTCTGATAAAAAGGTGCAATCCGGTGAAATAGTACAGGATCAACTGAACTTAAGGAAGACGTTAACGAAGTAGTGAGGTTCTAAGCGTGGAATTTTGACAAAAGCGACTTAATTAACCATTATGAAGGATTGGAATTCACTGTATGCTAACGACATCCAAAATCTTCTTTAGAACATCCAACCCGACACATTCATTTGCGACACTGTTTCCTTGACTAGTATTTTAGCCTTTTAAACAAAAGTACCTCCTGATACCACGCAACTCATTAAGACAACTATCTAATATCGGAGTTTGTAAGTGTTCAAAATCCTACCAAAAGCGGCTTCTCCTTAGGATTATCGAAATGCGAATGGCGCAGAAAACGGAGGTCTGATTGTTTGCGGTGGAAATAAGGAAGAAATAAGCTTTCATACGTTGCCCCGCTGAAACTCAGTTTATTTGGAAGTTCAGCGGTCGAGCATGCAATCCTAGTATAACATTCGTCCGCAAATGGTTCCCTGGATTCTTTGAAAATGTTAGTAACGATAGGTTATGTAAGCCTCTTGGGTTTAAAATGCATAGTCTGACCTGGTCTTGCTTGCTATTTCATAGTTATGGGAAGTAACACGCTGTGTGTTAAGTACCGCATTTATACAACGACATGCACACAGCTGTTCAGTTGTGTTTTTGTTATTCAAATTCCTTTTATTTATTGAGATTTGTTTTTGTCTATTTCTTAAGAGCTAAGAGAGCTCACATAACCTACCGTCGCCTAAACGTCAAGATTTTTCATTTCTCTAAAAGACGGGGCGCCTTTTCTGGGTAGGTCCAGGAGTTTCTGACCATTTAAATTGACTTTGAGATCGGCTATGCGTCTCAAAACTTGTTCTGTGGAGATTGTGAAAGCTTCTATCTTCATTTTCGATTGGACACGAAGACCCATCTTGAGAAATAACGCATGAAACGCACTGTGTCATAACCAAAGACCCATTATTTCGTGCATTCCACGTCGAGCTGTTGCCCACACTTTCGCACCGATTATTGAATATTTCATGTTTTCACTAATCATCTTCTTCACAAGGGCATCGTTGGCGCTTCGTGAACCTTTGCTTCGAAGAGTCTCTCGAAATGCATACTTATCAATAAAGAGGTGTTGCAGACCTAACGGACTCCCTAAAAACGGTTTCACGCCACTCAAGCATACTTTTAATAAAACCTAATTTTGCGCCCCTGAGGATAATTTTGAGAGCAAAATAAAAAACTTTCCAAGTAATAAAGGTAGCCTTGCTTTAAATTCCGGGGAGATTGTGGCTAGTGTTAAGATTAAAGTTTGGTTAAGATTTAGGGCTATTGTTTAGGCTAAAGTTAGAGCAAAGAAATATGTATCATTCCAGGAATTTAACACGAGACGACTTTGCTACTGGGAGGGTGGAATCCCTATTCATGGGTAGTACCTTTTCAGCATTCAATTTCACCGATTCACAAGTATTCTACGCCAACTTAATGAAATAGATTATTCGAGCGTCTTAATTGGGATCATTTATTTTCCCGCCCTGAGCATTTAAATTTGGATTTAGTTTAAAGGCAGAAAACTTACGTCATCTTCCCTATCCAAGGCGGCCTTCAAGTACTCGATAATGTCCGTACTCAACTCGCGCTAAAGTAGAAAAGCAGAAGTAATCAGTCTGGTTAGAGAGCAAGAAACGGTTTCAAGATTGCGGGAGGTCAGAGAGCATGCACTTGTGCGCGGAGCCAATTAAATGCCGGAACTGACGGATGTATCAGCGAGTACATAATCAGGCATTTTAGGCTGGGGAGGGGGGACGTATAAAGCACTCGGGTTGTTGCCTAACGAAAAATGCGCGAGTGTGTATACCATGACCGGGCACGAACTCTTTGGCTATATGACAATTTGGCCGTCAATTCCGAGTATATTCCCTGTGTGCTTCGCAACAGGATGGACGCAGGGGGCGATAGATTGCACCGTAGCTACCGTACTCTCCCACCTGAGCCCGATGTCAAGATAAAGTCAAGATTACCAGACGTGAGAATGGACATATGTGCCTGTCGTGGTGTGTGTCTGCGTTTAGGTGTCCACCAGCCCCCTCCCCCTTATTTGGCAATTTTATGGGTGTGCATACACAATAATGCCTGCCATGCCCTGAGCTGACCCTCCGTATTGGTCCAATGTAGCTGTCAGCAGCATAGACAAGTCAACATACGCAAACATGAAACTCATCGCGTAGGCGTTGCACCATCCACAAAGAGGAAAATTGACGGAAATTACAACTAACTGGCTTAAAGAATAGCCAGCAAACGTGTTATGGCCAAAAATGATATAAACCGATTGGAAAGACACGTTACGAAATGCTACGGGAAATAGTAAGTCACGAAGTGTTCAACAACTTGATCTAATCATATAAGTTTTTTTTCGAGCAGGTGACCCAAGGAGTTCAGTGCTCACCAAATCACCGGCTTATGAGCGGTACAGATGATGGCGTCCTCCCTGCACACAAGATTATCCAAGTAAATGAGCTCATTATCAAAAAATGCATCTCACGTGTTCATTGTTCTTGCTTTTACATTGGCCACACGGTTCGAGCGCTTGAGGCCAACTTTAACAAGCATAAACTAGCTATTCTCTGGCGTGGTGTCCTGTCTGTAGCCTTTGCGCAAGCCTTTGAGTGTGAACGCAGTTTTGATTTGGGCGGTACAGAAATGATCGTCATGGGACACCGAACATGCAAGACGATTCCTCCGAGCTTGCTGCTCCAAGTGGAGAAAACGTCAACCGCCATTTTAGCCTAGACGCCCAATTCGAGGTTCTACGATCACGACAAATCGATTGGCGCTCACCTTAAATGGAATAGCTATTAATACGTAGCCGGAAATTCAGAATTTCAACACATCCAACATTCGCGATGCACACTCTCCGCCTCCGAAGGACGGTTGCCCATCCGTATGTGCTCCTAAACTCTAGTGTACCAATTCCAACTCCCAGTGTTCATTCGTATGACGCCAAGCTAGTGTAATCAGCTTGAACATTCGCGAGTACAATTGCATTTTTTTCGACGTGCAGTGTGGCTTCCAGTGCGTTCAAAATATGTGACAGCGCACGCATTTGATGGCTCTTGTGCTTGCCTTGCTCTGCCAACAGCAGATGTAACTTTTTACAGGAGTAGGACAACGTGCCTGGCTTTTTGTATCCCGAATTCATGGGGAAGTAAAGTTCAGTGCATGTATATGGGCGCCGTTGATTGGACAGCTCCCAAGGCTGGCAAGAGCCGAGCGGACAAATGGTTCAAACATAATGAGATTAACTAAAGTTACTACCCTACCTTTATTAACATTTTCTTCGCACGTTGAACTAGCTCCTGTTGGCGGCCTCCAAGTTCACTCAAACCTATTGAGAGGAGGGGGGAAGAAGGAAAATCCTTGAAAACAGAACGGCGATGGGGGAAAAGGTTACAGTCCTACCATCCATGCACTTCAATCTGGGACATTGTAGAACTTTTTCTGTGAATATGGTGGCAAAGAGGGTATGAATCACTTATGTGGCCCTCTGTCCTGCAATGTCGATAGATTGGCGCTAAATCCTAGAGGCATAAGGGTGAGGGTTAAGGTAAGCATTACGTATATGGTTAAGCTGAGGACAGGGGAATAAAACATAGCCTGGAATTTAGTGCATGGTCGCCTCTATTACGCAGGCGTGTTCCTATTCCAGTATCCCCTTGAGGGTGTCCGTTCAAGTTATCCTCGCTACAAGTAGCACAACAGTGATTTGAATATCAGAGAACGAAATCGTTGTCAACAGTTCACTTTTGGGTAGGGCTGACTGATTAAGGTCAATAAGGCAGAAGGCACCATTCCTCCCCTTCCATGTCTTTGCCGGTATTGTCATTCTGTTTGTAAGACTAGCCGCTTTTTGGCTGCTAGCGGTGTTCGAAAATGAGCGTCAAGACGCAACGGGACGAGTATTTCCCGTAACGCGATTGGTCAGCGTCCCTCGACCATTGTTCATGCACCCGATCTCGGCCGATAGGACAGCGAGCCCGTAGTTGGACGTGTAAGCAACGGGTCGGAAGTCCAAGCCCCAGGTGT